CTTTCTCTGGTATATAAATATATCAAATATGGCGTTGACTATCCTTGTCACCCAGCAATACCACTTTTGGTCATATACCCAAAAGATGCACACCACACCACAGGGGCATTTGGTCAACTGTGTTCATAGCATTATTTGTAATAGTCAGAACCTTAAAAACAACCTAGATGCCCTTAGGATGCATAAAGAAGTTGTGGTACACTTACACAATGGAGCCTATTCAGTGGTAAAAGCAAAGGAAAACAAAACTAAAACCATCTTGAGTATTACAGGCAAATGATGGAAGTAGAAAAAAACATCGTGAGTGAGGACTAATATGGCATATTCACTCATAAGTGGATATTAGATATTAAAGAGAAACTAACCAGCCCACCAGCCCAGAGAAGCTAGGTAGCAAAGAGGACCCTGAAGGGACATACATGGATCTGCCTAGGAAGGGAAATGGAGAAGATCTCCTGAGTAAATTGGGAGCATGGTAGAAAGTGAGAGGGGAGGAGGGAAGGGGACTGAGGAGGAGAACATGACGTAATGGGGTGTTCAGTTTGGGGGAAGGACAGGGCAGGAGAGCAAGAGAGATATGCTATGACAGAGGGAGCCATTGTGGATGAGCAAGAAACCACAGAGATCCACAATTAACCACTGGCCTGAGCTTCTGGAGACCAGTGAAAGAAAGGGAGGAATGGAATGCTAATATGAGCAAAGGGGTCAAACCAGGATGGGAGAAAATCACAGAAACAGCAGACCTGAGCTAGCAGGAGCTCACTGTCTCCACACAGACAGCTGGGAAACCAGCTTAGCACTGATCTAGGGCCCCTCAATGCAGTTGATCGTGGTGTGGCATTGGCAGTAATTGAGGGCCAAAGGCAGTAGGAATAGAATCTATCCCTGTGCATGAACTGGATTTTTGGAGCATAGTCCCAATGGAGACATACCATGCCCAGCCTAGGCACAGCGGTGTGGGCCTTGGTCCAGCCTCAACTTGGTCATGTGACAGACCACATTAGTTGGGATGGGTAAATGTAGGAAGCAGGAGGAGGGGAGGGAGGGTGAACTGGGATTGGTATGGAAACAGAATAAATACAGAAAAAAACAACAAAACCTCATTAAAAAACACAATTTATTTCCAAATTAACAAACATAACTTAATGATATGGGGGTGCTAGTAGAGTTGATGGAGGTGGTCTTCTTCTAGTGCAGGGGCATCTCCACTGGCTTTTGATAGCCCCAAGCTGCAGAGAGCAGAGACATTAGGTGACACAAGTGCTAACAACGCTGGGAACACCTTGTCAGCCCACCTCCTGTATCTGCTGGTCAGTAATAATCATCCCAAAAGCTTGGCTTGCTGGGCTCTGTCATCACTTAGCATCCAGAGAGGACCACCCCAGTGTTCTCAGCAGCATCACCCTGTCTCACTCTCCTGGTTTTCCCATCAGGATGCTCCTGCATGAAGGTCAGGACTTCCAAATGCTACCTGGTCCTTCAGATATCTTTGTACTTCTTTATCACTATGCTTACTTTGGTGGTGGTGGTGGTTGTGGTGTGTGTGTGTGCATGCGAGCGCCCGTGTGTGCGCGTGAAGATACACTCACCTGTAATATGTTTACAGTTGTGTGCTTGTGCATCTGTGTGCTTGTATATATCCACATGTATTCTCCAACCTTTATGTATGTAGCACATGTATTCCCTAAAATGTCAACTCTGAGATGCTGTACACCTTGTGTTTTGGACACAGGCTTGCTCAAGTCCAGCAAGGTTGAAGCACCTGCAGCCAAGAGGGTGGTGTTTGTGGTGGTGCACGACTTTGATCGCAGCACTTGGGAGGCAGAAGCAGGCAAATGTCAGTGAGACAAAGGCCAGTCTGCTCTAGAGAGACAGAGACAGACAGAAAATCCATGTCTCAAAAACATAATAAAACAAAACAAAAAGGACATGCACCTGTCTCCATCTGGGGTAAGAAGCCTCAGCCAGCCTGCTGGTTTTTCCCTCGCTTTCTGGGGAAAGAACTCATATGTCACAACGAAAGCAGGCACTGTATTGTGGACAGACAGGCACGGTCCCAGCCCTCCTGTGCTTCTGAATCTCACACTGGTGTGGATTTCACAGACTTTACTCGCAACCCAGTCATCTCCATTGTGGAGTGCAGGTCCAGGAGCAGCAGTGGGTCTGTGAAATTTGTTCAGGGACATCTGGACAGCCCAGCTCTGAAAGCTATTTTGTCTGTAATCATAAATGGGAAAAAGCAATGAAAGAAGGAAGGACAAAAGCATGTTAGATGGGTTTAGCAGGGCAAGCCTCCCTCCACCCCGTTCTGAAAGCCACCTAACCACCACAATCTTGTCCAGAGCTGAAGCAGGGACTGCAGCAGATCAGGTGCCCTAACAGGGAACAGGTTTAGAGAGGCCACAAGGGGGCAGCAAAACATCAGAGTGTCTCACAGCTTCAAGAGCCAGCTGCATTCTGCCTTTCTCATTGGCACAGGAGGGAGTCTCCATGCCCTCCATGCCTACCTCCTCACTCCTCCCACATGACCAGTAGGAAGTACTTCCTGAACAGCTCCTTAGTGCAGTGCACAGGTGATGACTCAATGCTCAGGCCAATTCCAGATGTGAATCACCTCTGGATGCTCTGGGTTCATGTCTCCATGGGAAAGGCATTCTGATTCACCAGGATATGAGGTTGTGATGGGCTTCCATGGCATTCTTTTCTCAGATATGGGCATTTAGATTTGGGAGTAGGGATTGCTTATTGAACATAGTGTCATTCCTCCTAGACTGGCCTCAAACTCTCTGCTTTGGAAGATGACCTTGACTGCCTGATCCTCTTGTCTCTACCCCCAATATCAGGGAAGCTCCACCTGGTTGTAATTTGTGCTGGGAAAGAACCCAGGACCAAGAATCACTCTGCAGGCTGGACACACTGATCCCTAGTCCTCCTGGTCACATTCTGTTTTTAGAGAGAGATCTTACACTGCCACCAAAGCTAGACTACTGGTCCTTATATAGCCCAGGCTTGCCTTGAGTCTATGACACGTCTACAATCCAAGCCTCCAGAGCCCTGGAATTATTGGCATACTCCTTCACCCTTGCTCTGCCACAAAGTGCCTAGAAAGGGCAAATGGGAGGGAATGAGACCCCAGGCGCGAGGACACTAAACCTTCAAGCAGTGGGGTTGAGGCTCCATCTTCCTACTGTCATCAGCTGCTGCTGTGGACATGCACTGGAGAGTCTTCTGCCTTCCATTCCGGCCCAACCTGAGGGCTGATGATCAGAACGGGGCTTCAAGGATACCTGGCCACACAGGTGATGACCTGGGCGCTGCACACTGACCTGAGTGTCCTTGACATGGCATGGGATGGGGACAGCTTCCTTTACCTCCCTCCCACCCAGGTCCCAACTCACCAGCTTCAGAAGAAAAGTGGTGTCTGGCCACAGTTCTTTCTTTCAGTCTGTCAAAAGACTTTCAGTAGAAAGACAGGTCATCTAGAAATGGTAAAAGAGAAAATGCAGGGTAAATGGTGCAGTCCTGTAATTCCATAGGGGCGATCCAGAACTCCAGATCTTCCTCAGCTACACTGAATCCCCGGATAGGCTGAGATACAGGTGTGACTCAGTTGGGACAGCTCTTGCCCAGCATACAAGAAACCCTGGGTTTGTCCAGAAGACAAAATAAACCAGACTTGGTGGAGAATTACTGGAATCCCTGCATTTGGTACATGGAGATTGAAAGATTCAAAATTTAAGGATATCCACAGCTACATGCGTCATTTAAAAACAAAATCACAAAACCCAATGGGATTAGGTTCTGACCTGAAGCCCCAACACTCAGTTGGCCAGTGGTAGGAGGCCGCCAGTCCTTGGCAGCCTGGACTGCATACAGAAAACCTGTGTCAGCATTCGAGGAGAGGGGGAAAAAAGGTTTCTCATTTGAGGGGACTGATAGTTATGTCACTGTGGGGTTTAAGAGCCAGGAATTTTGGAAATGACAATAAAATCCCAGGAATATAGGGTCTAGACAGTATTGAGGAAAAACAGGTAAGGCAGGATTGCTGAATTGTACATAATGAGTATTGTGTGTCTGTCTGTTCTCACCCTTTGAGTACGTGTGTAGACCAGAAATATTCATCCAGTGCTTTTACACCTTAATTCTCTTGTTTGCTTTTTGAGACAGGGTGTCTCTGTGTATACCTGGCTGTGCCTGAAATCTCTCTGTAGCCCAGAATTCACAGAGATCAGGCTGCCTCCCCCACCCACAGTCCTGGGTTCAAAGGGGACTCCGGGCCCATGGGCATCCACCTTACTTTTCACATGAGGGTCTCACTGATCCCAGGCCAGCAAGCTGCCATTCCTGCTTGTCCTTTCATTCACACAGCTCCCAGCGCCAGTGTCCACATCTCAGACTTCAAATATTCAAAATGTGCATGTCCTTTGTGATGGGCTACACTCAGCCCGGAACTCCCTACACTGGCCCTGAGCTGCTTCTACTTGACAGGGCAGAGGGATTCAGACCTGGAAATTCTGGCTTGGGGAGTTGGAGAAGAAGACGAAGATCCTGCTGCAAGTCATCTTTTCCTACAGAGCGGCCTGCCTGGGACAGAAGAGATCGAGACTAAACCACAAATGCTAGCAGCGTTCCAGTGCACCTAAGGAGGACTGAGTCTGCAGCACCACAGGAAAATAAATCCAGCGTGGACAACACAGAGCACTCAGTCCTCCCCAGTTACAGGGCAAGACTCTGTGTGAACATTACAGCCAACACAAGAAAAGAGTTGGGGCAATACTATTCCTACCAACCAATGTGGACAGAAACAAATGTCAGAAAATAAGATGGAATTGTGCATGTGACATCTTAGCACTACTGTCAGGGAATGAAAGACAATTTCCATCTTGGGTTGTAGACAGAATGGGCTCACTTAGCATACTTCTGTGATACGTTTCTTTTTAAGTGGGTGATTCAAGGTTTCATGTCTGAGTTATAATTTCTGTATCTACTCCAGTCAATGTCAATTTTATGTTTGTATTAGTGATTGCTGTTCATGGCCTTCTTCAGGGAATAATAGTGAGTCTTTTCAGATCCAGATTAAGACAGAGCAGCTTACCTGCATGGAAGTTTTTCATGTATAAGTAGACACAGAGACAGAGATGGAGGCAGAGAAAGTTGAGAGAGAGAGAGAGAGAGAGAGAGAGAGAGAGAGAGAGAGAGAGAGAGAGGAATGAAAAGTCTCACCAGGGGCTCCACATTCCAGTGGTTGGGGGCAGGTGAACAATATAGTTTTGTTACTATTATCAGAATGGCAAGTCAGATCTTCCTCCCATGCATGATAGAGTGCCCTGAGAATTCTTCCTCAGGGGTGTCTGAGCAGCTCATCCTGGTCCAGTGGCTGAGGCCAGAACAGGATCCTGGGGAATCTCCTTTCCCAGGGCTGTAGATGGTGGTTAGGAAAGCATAGGGTTCTGGGGTGCTCGTGCAATCTCAGAGTAGAAGAAGACATTCCTACTCAGATTCGGTTAAAAATGTCTTTCCAATGAACTTAGTGTTGCTCAGAGGACATGTCAGAGAATTTTTTGTGAACCTCTCAGAACAAGATACGGAGAAGCTGGGAAGCACAGATGATGTCCCAGCAAAATGAAGATTCCAGGAACCTTTTCTTCCTGGGTTCAATTTAGGGACACGTGGGATAGACAGACCATCCACGTCAGTCACACAGCCTTCCCTGTTCGTCGAGACATGACAATTTGGGACAGTCTAGGGAGAAAGAGGATACAGGATGTTATCATGCCAGTGTAACTGCAGAGTAAACAGGGATGGTTTCCCGGAAGCTCTCCCACATGACCTGCAAAAGGCTCCTTACCTGTGGGAGAACAATCAACTTGAAATGAGACAGAAATGGAAGCAACCATAGCCTGGCTGAGAGCAGACATGGAATTGCAAGGAGTCAAATAGATAGAGGCAACCACCACGCGGCAGAGAGCACACTGTGGCTGGCACTAGGCGTGGCCTACAGCAGGTTGCTGGCCCCTCTTGAAAGTTTCCGTTTTTCCATGTTCAGGACACCCATCATCCCCTCACGCTGAGGCAAGTGGTGTTGAGTTCGGCATCCAGTTCTCAAAGTGAATGACGGCCTTGAAGAAGCAAGCATGGAGAGGCAGCTAGTGAGTAACTAGAGGGCAGAAGTGGTGGAGAGAGAGGAATCGGCTGCCCCTGAGTCACTCCCCAGATGAGAATTTCCAAGTTTAGCTCTGAGTGGGGTCTGAGGACTCAGAACATTTGCAGGTTTTTGCAAGTGTTTGGCAGGAGGTTGCCCTCTAGAGCATTCTATAGGGCCTCTTGCAGGCCAGATTCTCAACCTGAGAGCCCATCTTGGGGATGATGAGACTGGCTAACTAGGAATACTCTCCCTGGGGGTGAAAAGGGCCACCCCATGGAGAAGATCATGTTCTCTGCCAGGAAACAAGAAGCCAAGGACAGTCATTACCCAGAGTGCAGTCTGTGATGTTTACCCAGGCAGGGGAGAGGGGAAGGGTCTATTGTTCCACAACACAGCCTGGGCCACCTTTGTAACTCTGCCCTGCCCTCTGAACAAGAAAGACCCCATGTAAAGCCTGCCCTTCCCGCCTGGGATTTCACCTGGTGAGAGCTCAGCTGGTGTGGACAGCTGTTCTTCCTCTGCAGGAGCAGCCTGTGGACACACTGCTCCTGGACGTCTGGCCTCGCTCTCCTGCGGGATTGTCCACACCTCAGCCAGGCCGATCCCCAACCCGTGGCTCACAAGCCACGGAGCTGGGCCTTGACCATCTTCAGTACTACAAAGCAGAAAGAAAGAGGAAGCAGACACTTAGTAACTTTGGCACACATAGAACTTACTGTGCTGACGATGCAGCACCTAAGCATCCCTCTGCCTGCTTTGATCAGCATCTCTGCTGTCCAATTCTACCTCAACAAGCCTGAGGTCACACTGGAGGGCATCCTCTGGGGTTGGTCTTTCTGAAGGAACAGGTTCTTAAGTTCACAAGTGTGCCACAATAGAGGATCTCACACTCACTTGGGATCAGAGTAGAGATTGGTTGGGGGACTGGAGGAGTCTGGTGTGTGTGGGGGGGTTGCAGGAGGGGAGGAGAGGGATATGTGATTGACATGAGAAACAAGCTTGTTTCCTACTTAAATAAAAATAAAGGAAAACAAAACAAGTGGGCCACAAGTGGGCATAGTCATCGTCTGTCACAAAGGACAGGAGGCAAAGAATGAGTAAAATAAAGTAAGTGGCCCCACCTGATTCTGTGGGTGACTCCAGGATCCCGTTTCTTTGGAGCCAGGTTCTGACAGGCATCGTGGCTTCTCCTGGCAGGTGGCAAACAGAAGCACACGTGTCTGAGGCAGTTCACCATTGTTTTCTTGAACCCCTTCCACCTGTGGCGCCTCCGGATTGGGGAGGAAGCCTGGCCGGCAACCTCAGGCTGGCCGTGGGTGATGGCCTCCTCCTCTGTGATGCTGTCATCCTGAGTCTTATGCCCTGCCTGGGTCCTCCTCACTTCCAGGGAGACATTTGCTTCCCGATGCATGTCCTCCTCCTCCATTATATTCTTTTCCTCTATGATGGCCTCAGTGTGAGCCATGGTCTCTCCATCGACCATGGTGGTTTCTTCTGTGATGGTCTTATCATGAGTATTGGTCACTTCTGGTGTGAGAGCCTCTTCCTGGGGTATGGTTGTTTCGTGTATGATGGTACCTTCCTCATTCATGGCCTCTTCCTGTGTGATAGTCATTTCCTCACTAATTTCTTCTTGTATCCTGGAGTCTCCCTGCCTGGTATCCCCAGAGGAGAGGCCTTTGGAAGTTACACTCTGAGCTGTGTCTCTGGAGCTGCAGAGTTCCTCTTGATAACTCCAGGAAGATACACTGCCTGTGTTACATGTGGTCTCCTTGTCGTCTGGGCAATAAGAATCATTGAACATTAAGAACAGTGATGGGCAGACACTGTCAATCAGGCTGACATGTGACCCGATCTTTGACTCAGAGGAACTCTCTCTCATTACCACGCTACTGCGTGTAAGGTCAAGAGAACGGGGCCTGTTCGGGAAGACTAGGTGTGGAGGTTGGGGCCTGTCTGACAGGTGGCATAGGGTGGCAGGCATGCTATGCCTTGTGCCACCCTGCCTGGCATTGTTCTCATGCTCTGTCTCCTGAAGACTGCATGACATGGTGAAGGCCAGGGGAGCAGGCTCAGTAGCTCTCCTTAGAGGCACAGGGAAGGTGTGATGATCTCCCAGGTTGAGGACAAGGCCTGGCTGCCTGGGTTTCACCGGCTGATGGCAGCTATCTCCCACAGAGGACTCGTGTTTGAGAATCAGGTAAGTGGCCATCAGCTGGTTGTCCTTTTGTTCTCTGAGACAATCAGTGTTTTCCTCAGACTTATACCCCATGACCGTCATGCTGCTGACAATGCTGGTGGGTGTCAGGGTGCCTGGGAGTCTCTGTGTGGAAGGAGGCAAAAGGGCAATGGTGTCCCTGATCATGGGGCACGCCATGATTTGTTCAATGTTGGCCCTCCTGCCTGGGTCCTTCATCAGTAGTTGGGTGATGACTATGGAAATATCGGTGGAAATGTGCTGAGGTATTCTGACACCTTCAGGAGACCTGGCACAGAAGGGAAAGCGCCCAACCACCATGAGGAAGAGGAGAACTCCCAAACTCCATATATCAGCTCTGAAACCATCATAGGCTTCACCTGAGAAGACTTCTGGAGCACAGTAGAGCGGGGTACCACAGGAATCTGTCATCAGGTCCCCTGGGGGCACCTTTGCTGCAAGGCCAAAATCGCAAAGTTTTGCGTTCCCCATACAGTCAAGCAGTATGTTATTGGCCTTAATGTCCCTATGGACGATCTGGTTGTTGTGGCAGTATTGAACTGCAAGGAGAATCTGGGTAAATAGCCTCCGTGCCTCGCTCTCAATTAAGCACCTCTGTTGCATAATGTGTCCAAAAAGATCTCCTTGTGATGCGTGCTCCATCACTAAGAAGGTGGTATCTCTTGATTGGAACACGTTCAGCAATTCGATTATGTGCGGGTGTTTGAGAGATTTCATTATGTTGATTTCAGTAGCAACAACTGAGGCGTACTCCTCATTTCTGATCATTTTTACAGCCACATGGGTTACAGTAGGAACGTGGATGGCCAGCTTAACCTTCGAAAATTGTCCCTGGCCCACGGTCTTCAGCATCTTATAATCAGGCATGAAGGAATCCTCAGAGGAGCAGCAGGCCGGTCGCCACCAGGTTCTATGAGTGACTCCACAATCCGGTTTCTTTGGAGCCAGGTTCTGACAGGCATCGTGGCTTCTCCTGGCAGGTGGCAAACAGAAGCACACGTGTCTGAGGCAGTTCACCATTGTTTTCTTGAACCCCTTCCACCTGTGGCGCCTCCGGATTGGGGAGGAAGCCTGGCCGGCAACCTCAGGCTGGCCGTGGGTGATGGCCTCCTCCTCTGTGATGCTGTCATCCTGAGTCTTATGCCCTGCCTGGGTCCTCCTCAATTCCAGGGAGACATTTGCTTCCCGATGCATGTCCTCCTCCTCCATTATATTCTTTTCCTCTATGATGGCCTCAGTGTGAGCCATGGTCTCTCCATCGACCATGGTGGTTTCTTCTGTGATGGTCTCATCATGAGTATTGGTCACTTCTGGTGTGAGAGCCTCTTCCTGGGGTATGGTTGTTTCGTGTATGATGGTACCTTCCTCATTCATGGCCTCTTCCTGTGTGATAGTCATTTCCTCACTAATTTCTTCTTGTATCCTGGAGTCTCCCTGCCTGGTATCCCCAGAGGAGGGGCCTTTGGAAGTTACACTCTGAGCTGTGTCTCTGGAGCTGCAGAGTTCCTCTTGATAACTCCAGGAAGATACACTGCCTGTGTTACATGTGGTCTCCTTGTCGTCTGGTGAACAAGAATCATTGAACATTAAGAACAGTGATGGGCAGACACTGTCATTGGGGCTGACATGTGACCCGATCTTTGACTCAGAGGAACTCTCGCTCATTACCACGCTACTGCGTGTAAGGTCAAGAGAACGGGGCCTGTTCGGGAAGACTAGGTGTGGAGGTTGGGGCCTGTCTGACAGGTGGCATAGGGTGGCAGGCATGCTATGCCTTTTGCCACCCTGCCTGGCATTGTTCTCATGCTCTGTCTCCTGAAGACTGCATGACATGGTGAAGGCCAGGGCAGCAGGCTCAGTAGCTCTCCTTAGAGGCACAGGGAAGGTGTGATGATCTCCCAGGTTGAGGACAAGGCCTGACTGCCTGGGTTTCACCGGCTGATGGCAGCTATCTCCCACAGAGGACTCGTGTTTGAGAATCAGGTAAGTGGCCATCAGCTGGTTGTCCTTTTGTTCTCTGAGACAATCAGCGTTTTCCTCAGACTTATACCCCATGACCGTCATGCTGCTGACAATGCTGGTGGGTGTCAGGGTGCCTGGGAGTCTCTGTGTGGAAGGAGGCAAACGTGCAAGGGTGTCTGTGATCATGGAGCACCTCATGATTTGATCAATGCTGGGCCTGCTGCCTGGGTTGATCATCAGTAATCGTATGATGACTATGAAAATATCGTTGGAAATATGCTCAGGTATGCTGTATTTTGAGTTGAGGATCTGATGCCTCAGACCTGCAGGAGACCTGGCCCAGAAGGGAAAGCGCCCAACCACCATGAGGAAGAGGAGAACTCCCAAACTCCATATATCAGCTCTGAAACCATCATAGGCTTCGCCAACAAAAAGTTCTGGTGCACAGTAGAGAGGGGTACCACAGTAATCTGTCAGCAGGTGCCCTGGGGGCACTTTTGCTGCAAGGCCAAAATCGCAAAGTTTTGCGTTGCCCATCCAGTCAAGCAGTATGTTATCAGCTTTAATGTCCCTATGGGCAATCTGGTTGTTGTGGCAATACTCAACTGCAAGGACAATCTGGGTAAATAGCCTCCGTGCCTCGCTCTCATGTAAGCACCTCCGTTCCATAATGTATCGATAAAGATCTCCCTGTGATGCGTGCTCCATCACTAAGAAGGTGGTGTCTCTTGATTGGAACACGTGGAACAATTCGATTATGTGCGGGTGTTTGAGAGATTTCATGATGTTTATTTCACTAGCAACAACTGAAGCGTACTCCTTCTCATTTCTGATCATTTTTACAGCCACATGGGTTACAGTAGGAACGTGGATGGCCAGCTTAACCTTGGAAAATTGTCCCTGGCCCACGGTCTTCAGCATCTTATATTCAGGCATGAAGGATTCCTCAGAGGAGCAGCAGGCCTCCCTGCCCTGCTCCATGGTCGCGTCCTCGGTGATATGGCTAGAACCGAATTGACAAGGGGGAAGTTTAAAGAAACTGTTCAAATCAGGCCCAGGAGAATGTCCATAGCAACACATTCCTATGCCCTTAAGATGACACTCAGAGACATTGCAGGCAACCTAAGCAGGTACTTAACGCTCACAAGAGAAGAAAGCATCTTCTACAGCAGTGGACAGTAGAATATGACACCAATGGGGTATGCAGGAACCATCCAGCAACTCAGAGAATAAAACAAAGGTCACAGAAACTAAGAGATGCTCATTGCGGAGGATCATGATCCTCTTTCTGTAACCAATACTGACAGAGATGAGGTTCTAGTAAAACCAGAAGGGAGAGCAGTTGCAAAGACAACAGACACTTGAAAACCCAGAGTGTCCATGTGGGGAAATGGCTCAGGAGAATTCACTCAGAGAACAGGCAGCCACTGACTATATCGGGATGTTGTGACAAAACGCTGTGTTTCTTCGAACCCCAGGGCCTGGAGTAACATCTATGGGGGGTTAAAGATGACGTCATTCAACACATGATACTCATGAGACCTGAGACTTCTCACCAAAGCCCAGGATCCCAGAGGCAGTAGCCTGATATACTCAAATGGTCAAGAAAATATTTGTCTGCCAGAACCCTAAGACAACGTGTGGGAGATGGAGCCATATTCTGGCACCCTAGGCCCTTCCTCTCTCAAACAAAAATCTTTAGTTATGTCACTGAAATACAACAGAAATTGGTTCCTTGTGTATCTAGACATTCGCAAGATAAGATCAAGTACCTGAGGACTGTGAGTATAACAGAACTGCATTCTAATTAGAATTGGTTTGTATTTTCACATGATCAAGGAAAAGCATGAACTCAGTCTATGAAGCCTTTTCTTAAAGGCCACATGTTCTTCTGTGTGACAATCTCTAGTGCTCCTGAGTGCCCATTTGTTAATAGAGTTCTCTTAGGATTGAAGTTTTTAACAGGGACTTTGCAGGACACAGGCACATGTGTGCACACACACACACTCACACACAAACACACACACACACACACACACACACCCTGCAATCAGACATGATCCAACTAGCTGTGGCCATCCTAAGGAGAGTCGTCCTTCAGGGTCAGCTGATGCATCTTGTATAGGAGCTCAATGGAAAACCCAGCAACCTAGAGTCTGTTGTTCATCAAAATAACCTTGGATCAGAGCATGGAGACAACAGCCGTTGATAGGAATTAGCTACAGACAGGATGGGGAAGTCAGGAATACGGATAAGGGGATGTAACAGAAGGAGCATGGGGCTTCTTAGCGATTTAGGGTCATTTGGTGTGGGGTGAGTGGAGAGACACTTTACTTGTTGGGTATCTGTCCAAATAGGAAGGTTAGCTGATTGCTACTTAGCCTCTAAGAGTTTGCAGGCTCTCTTTACACTTTCACTTACTGTGTTCTTGAATTCTTTTCAGTTGCCCTGTTCCATATATTTCATCGAAAGAAGAGGATCTGACTATTTTCTCTGCCCTTGCCAATCATGACCTTGAACTGCCAGGAAGATCCCAAGATAACCACCTAGCTTGAGGCTTTCTGTCAAAGCACAGACACATTGGTGCCCTTCCCTAAGAGACCATCCATTGTGGCCTGTCAGTCCTCTCAACAGTACACATGACTTGGCCTGTACTCAGAAAGTGGCTGAATTAAAAAGGGAAACACTAGGGACTTGGAAGGGGGCAGTGAGATCACGGGAATGTGGTCCAAGTTTTTGTACATGTATGGAAATGCCCCATGAGAATCTTGTTCAATTAATATAGACTGATATTTTTAAATGGCAAAAGAAGAGATAAGTCCAGATAAAATGACACATTAAAATAGAGTAAATTCAGTCGGACTTTGGTGGCACACCCCTTAAGTCCCAGCAAATGCGAGGCATGGACAGGTGAATCTCTGTGAGTTTGTGCCATCGTGGTCTACACATGAGTTCCAGGACAGCCTCCAAAACCCTGTCTCGAAAAATCAAAACATAACACGTAGAGTAAATTCTAATACCCCAAACCAAAGAAGAAGGACTGGAGATTTAGTTTAAATTCAGGGAAACAAAATCTCTAAACCCGGTATCTGTGAACTAGAGGCCACTCACTGTGTTCAGATTCACCAATTCACCACTATCCAAGTACAAGTAGCTCACTGATAAGTGAATCTCAATAGTCTCCAACCAGCTAACAGCTTCTGAACTGTAAGGACTGGAGTCAGCCTCAGCCAGAGCTGTTAGTGCAGAGGATTCTGTCATTGTGAGGTCACAGCAAGAAATGGACCAATGGCAGCTCAGCACACCTTGTTGGTTTCTTTACCTTCTGTCACCAAGGACAGGAAAGCTATTCTGTTCAGTGTGGCAGTAGGAGCCTGATGACACTGGCTACATTCAAATGGCTGTCCCCAATGTGCCCAATGAGCCTCTACTTCCTGTAAAGCCACTTTCCTGGGTCCACCAGTTTTCCCAAATGATGTCACCTGGTGGGGACTGCGTCCAAACACTTGATTCTTTGTGGGACATTGACATCCAACCTTAACCAGGATGTGTTTCACTTTTATAATGAAACAGAATCATAAGAATGACAAAGGGCCCCGCAACATTGGCCCTCCCTTGGTTATGGATTCTGACATGCTCAGGGTAGTAGGGGCATAGTGTTTTGCTTTTCTCTTGGACCTACCACCCTAGGACAAGGATGTAATAACTCAGCATGTCTACACTCAAAAGTTTTCAGGTTATTTTTCTCTAAAGACTGATTCCTGGGCTCTATAGGATGACTGCATTGGGATGTGGTGACAAAATACTGTGTTCCATTGCACCCTAGGGCCTGGAACAAACATCTGTGGGGGTTAAAGATGACAGCATTCATCACATGGTCTCCAGTAGGCCTGAGACTTCTCACCAAAGCCCAGGATCCCAGAGGCAGGAGCCTGGCATGTTCAAAATGGTCAAGAAAATACTTGTCTGCAAGAGCCCTAAGACAACCCATGTGGGAGATGCAGGCATATCCTGGCACCCTAGGTTCTATGATGGCTCAACATACCTCACTCACACACATGTGTCCCCAAGGACATGAAGGCTGGTCTGGTCAGTGGGGCAGAATGGCCCAAGGAGGCTGTTTGCATTCAGTTAGCTTCTCTATACCTCCCATGACCCTCGTCCTCATTCTAGGTTTGATTTCTCACATTTTCCATAAGTTCAAAAACAGTGAAGTCCAATGCTAGGGATCAATATTCAAACACAGGATCATTCCTTGGACATTTAACATCTAAACTTTAATACACACCCTCTCAAGGTTAATACTTCTAGGTGGAATAATTGAAGTATCATAGTCTACAGATGTTGTCCTTTACTGGTTTATGGATTCTGTGTATCTGCGGCTGTGATAAAACCTCATGACAACAAACAATTTTAGGAAGATTTATTCCACTTTCACTTCCCAAATATAAGCTATCACAAGTACAGTGCTGTGATTAAAGGTGTTTGCTACCAAACTCGACTAATTCTATGTGTTTGTTTTGTTGAACCAGGATCTATGTCGTCCAGAATGACCTGGAAGGTGATACGTAACTCAGGCTGGCCTTGAATTTATGATCCAATGATTGACATTAAGCCATAGGTCTAGTTGTTTATTCTTTGACTCCATGTCTCCTATAACCCAGACTGGCCTGTTACTGGAAATGTTTAGGAACGGTTGGGCTGCAAGTTCTGATCCTCCTCCTTCTACTTAGAAGGGCAGATCAGAAGTTCAAGTCCTAAGGAGTTGAATGATGGTGTCCATGTGTTAGGATTTCAGCTATGAGCTGCCATGCTCAGCTTGGTAACTTTTCCTTTTATCATTAGCTTATGATAAGTTTGTTTATTTATGTGTGTATATTCATGTTATGGTGTACAAAAGAAGTTAGAGGCCAACATGAAGGAGCCTATCCTTACCTCTACAATGTCAGCCTATGGTTCTGAACTCACCATGCCACACTTGGCAGCAAGCACCTTCACACACTGAGCCATCAGGCTGACCTCAGGTAGAACTTCCAAGTTTCTTGCATAAAGTGAGTGTGGTGATACATGTACCTGTTCCTGCCACTCAAGAGACAGTGTGCTGCTACTTAGTGTGGACTGAAACTGAAGCCCTCTTGCTTGAACCTCTTGAGTGGTAGGTTATTTGCCTTATTATTTGACCTATATACTTCTTTTTGAAGTTTTTTTTTTAATTTAAATTAGAAACAAGGTTGCGTCACATGTCAATTCCAGTTCCCTCTGCCTTTCCCTCCCTTCCTCCCAGGCCCTCCCACCAACTGCTCCAATATCTCCTCATTTCCCCAGGGAGGGTGAGGCCCTCCATGAGTGTGTCCATAGTCTGTCATTTCATCCAGGGCAGGGCCTAGACCCTCACCCAAGAGTCCAGGGTGAGAGTGCATCTCTCATTGTTGGATGGGAGCCCAAAGTCCATTTGTATACCCGGGATAAATACTGATCTACCACCCAAGGCCCAATAGATTACCTAGGCCTCCTCACTGACACTCACATTCAGGGGGTCTTGATCCGTCCCATACTGGATTCCCAGGCATCAGTCTGGGATTCAAGAGCTAACCCTTGTCACATCAGCTGTTTCTGGGGGTTAAAACAGCCCAGTCTTAACCCCTTTAGTCATCAGTCCTCCCTCTCTGTCACTGGATTTCTTGAGTTCAGCTCAGTGCTTAGCCATGTGAGTCTGCCTCTGCTTCCATCAGCCACTGAATGAAGGTTCTGTTTCCAAGACTCTCTAGCCATGGGATTGCAGGCTGGCACTCCCCAGATCTATGTCTAAAATCCATATATGAGAGAGTTCTTGCGATACAGGTCTTTCACTTGTTTGGTTAGCGTTTCCCCAAGGTATTTTATGTTTTTTGTGGCTATTGTAAAGGGTGATGTTTCTCTGATTTCTTTCTCAGCCCTTTTATCATCTCTATAAAGTAGGGCTACTGATTTTCTTGAGTTGATCTTGTAGCCTGCCACTTTGTTGAAGGTGTTAATCAGCTGTAAGAGTTCCCTGGTAGAGTTCTTTGGGTCATTTATGTAAACTATCATATCATCTGCAAATAGTGAAAGTTTGACCTCTTCCTTTCCAATTTGTATCCCCTTGATCTCCTTTTGTTGTCTTATGGCTCTAGCTAGAACTTCAAGTACAATATTAAAAAGGTATGGAGAGAGTGGACAGCCTTGTCTTGTTCCTGATTTTAGTGGAATTGCCTTGAGTTTCTGTCCATTTAGTTTGATGTTGGCTGTTGGTTTGCTGTATATAGCTTTTATCATGTTTATGTATGTTCCTGTTATCCCAGATCTCTCCAAGACCTACATCATGAAGGTGTGTTGGATTTTGTCAAAGGTTTTTTCTGCATCTAGTGAGATGATCATGTGATTTTTGTTTTTCAGCCTGTTTATATGGTGGATTACACTGATGGATTTTCATATGTTGAATCATCCCTGCATCCCTGGGATGAAACCTACTTGATCGTGGTGAATGATTGATTGATGTGTTCTTGGATCCAATTTGTGTTGGGGAAGTCCTGTGTATATGTCAATAAAGCATTGTTGGCCAATAGGGAAGCAAGATAGGTGGGACTAGGAGTCCAGGAGGACTCTGGGTAGGAGAAACACAGGGAGTCAAGATGTAGCTGTGTTAGGAGTAAGAAGTTTGGAACTATTTTCGGGTAAGAGAAATACTTAGATTAACAATTATGTGGTAAATACTTAAGTCAGAGCTAGCCAGTAAGAAACAAGCAAGGCCAACAGCGTCATAATTAATATAGCCTCCTGTGTGTTCATTTGGGCCTGATGCGGCTCTGGAACCAGGCTTGCGGGAAGGTTCCTCTTTACATAATGGTGTCAGAAGTGGGATGATGAATTTCCACGTAGAATGACAAAAGCTTTAAAGACATTTTAGAAACAGAAGAATGGAGAGAAGCACAGATTTTTGGTAGCAGCATTTTCTCAGGTGGGCTCTATTTTGCTAGCGACAAGCAGAGACTCACGTGGCTTACTTAAGGGAGTCTTCCTGACTCAGCATAAAAAAAAAAAAACAAGGCTCTGCTAACAATTCAAAGGAGTATATGTACAGCTGGAAGTGGCAGAGACCACATCTCCAAGCCGGCAGCTTTTGCTGGATCTCAGCATAGACTGAGGCAGTGGGCTGGAATCACGCTTACACCCGCCATCTTGGAAAAACTGCAGTTTAAACTGCTGTGGTTTTAACAGATAAGACACGCGGCCAGAAAAACATAAAGATTTACAATAAAGTCAGTCTTGGATGAAGAAAAACCTCTAAAGGTTTAGAGTGTGTTTAAAAATATACATAAGATTGAGAGAGACGAAGAAAAACGGCATAGTGGCAAATAAAAGTAGAGAAGCTGGCTGTGGTGGCGCACGCAGCTAGGATTTGCTGCAGAGGCAGAGGCAGGCTGATTTCCAAAGAGAAACCCTGTCTCAGAGAAAAATAAATAAAAGTAAAAGAAATAGAATAATAATAATAGATAAATAAATAAGCCACGTAAACATGGAAAATACACAGAGAGTCTGGATACTGTATGCTATTGTGTTTTTCAGTTTTTTGATTGCTAAGGAAGGAACAACTGCTAAAGTACACTTGATTACAAATGCTGCTGAATTAATTCAACTTATATCTTTTGAAAATGCCTTGACTTCAAAATTTAAGTATAAGGATGTGTTACTTGGGAAAGGAGTTTTTGTTTATGTTTCTACAGAAAATGAAAAGCTGAGGATTCCTTCCAGGCTTCTGTGGTTTGATGAACCAAGACCCCTGGAAGCAGTGGACCAGGTGTTCCAACAATTGAAACAGCTAAGATGATGCAGTCTTACAGACCCCGAAAATACGGACTTATACAGGTTTCTGAGTTTTGTCATGATCCCCATGGTATGAACAGCGCCCCCTTCCAGCACGAAGCAGTTTGGAATGAGCGACCTCCTAATTCCCATCTTGTTCATAAATCTTTGTTTTCATTTAAATGGGGTTGTTATAATTGGCTAACGATCACAGCCAATCTCTTTTTAATGGTTAAAAGGGGAATTATGGTATGGGTATGGTTTTTCATTTATTGAGACAAATTCAAGGTCTATTTCGTGATGTGTATATTTCTCTTCCTGATTAAGTATTGTGCTTATACTGATCTTTTAAAACATAATGCACAATTGAATACAGACTATAGATAGTTACTTTTAATAGTCAGGACTTATAGTTAGGTTAGTGAGGTTTTCTAGATATACAGAGATATATTTAAGATAGACAGTCTTCAAACCTCTCAAAGACCTTCAGAAAATGGCATTTAACATGGTTTAGGTTTTTTCTTGACAATGAGAAATGTCTGCTCCTGGCAGCACCAATTATGTTAAGTGGAAGATGGGCATTGAAGAGACTCGTTATGGAGTTTGCTTTCAACATGGAAAGATTAGCCATTTGGGCAAGAAACTGCTCTTGCCTGGACTGCTTGACTGTTGCGGTATAAACTGGACATGCAGGACCCACAGAAAAGTGACTACTGAACTCAAAAATCCTTCAGGGTTCCTGATTCTTGGAAGAGTCTACGAGACTTTCTGCAGGACACAGAAAAATGACTGACAGACTGCCAATGCAGATGGACAGTTTGAAATTTCCTGCTTTGCTGAGATGTCTTTCAGACACACTGTGGCTTATGGGCTGAAGATGGATGCCCCAACAATACAGAGAAACTTCAGGTGACTGTCCAGGCAGCAAGATGTCTCTGTCAATCCTAGTGTTTAAGTATTATCCTTCTGTGGTCTTTGATGGAGTTGAAGACAGATAGTTATAATTATAGTTTTCCTTAGTAATGATAAAAGATAAGCTACATATAGAACTTTGAACTCACAAGGATGGAATGAATGATATTTTCTTTGAAACTTGCTGAATGTTGATAGACAAAATGTTGTAACTATGTTCTTGCTTGATAGCTGTTCTGTTGTATATAATTTTACTATGTTAAAGTTAAGACCTTTCTTTTTGTTTAGACAGAAAAGAGGAGATGTTGGGGAAGTCCTGTGTATATGTCAATAAAGCACTGTTGGCCAACAAGGAAGCAAGATAGGTGGGACTAGGTGTCCAGCAGGACTCTGGGTAGGAGAAACACAGAGAGTCAAGATGTAGCTGTGTTATTAGTAAGAAGTTCAGAACTATTCTCCGGTAAGAGAAATACTTAGATTAACAATTATGTGATAAATACTTAAGTCAGAGCTAGCCAGTAAGAAACAAGCAAGGCCAACAGCTTCATAATTAATATAGCCTCCTGTGTGTTCATTTGGGTCTGATGCGGCTCTGGAACCGGGCTGGCGGGAAGGTTTCTCTTTACAAATTTGTTCGTATTTTATTGAGTATTTTTGCATTATTGTTCATGAGGGATTTTGGTCTGAAGTTCTCTTTCTTAGTTGTGTCTTTGTGTGGCTTGGGGACCAATGTAATTGAAGTCCGGTAAAAAGAGTTTGGCAA